CATGCTCTCACGTGAGCATATATTATACACTAACTCTCTTGGGCAGAAGTGTTGTTTGGTTTTTTTTTTAAAAAAAATAATAATTAAAGATATGGGATCCTCTTACAATCACTAGATGATTTTTTTAAAAAATGAATTTTGAGTTCTTAAATGCTTGGTCCGAACCATTGAAAAATCGGAAGGCCTTTTGTTCAATTTCATGACATTGTCTTTTGGAGGCACATACCCAATCCATTTGATTCCTTTTTATTTATTTTTCGTTTTTATTTTTTAGGTTAAGGGGATTGCATCACTATAGTCTTAACCTGAGGTTTATCCAATGTAGTTAATGAACAGTATATACTCCATGGGAGCAAGAAATCATGATGTTTTTTTTTATTATTCTTCCGTGTCTTCTTTTTGGTTTTTGGAAGTGCATGATTAAAGATATTCTAGCATATTTACAATAAAGATGCCAATAAAAAAGAAGAGACTTTAAGAGAGAATCGTGACACCTCATCGGGTTTTAAGCTCATTTGGATGGTATGTCTCGTTCTTAGAAAAAAGTTCTCATGAAATTTTTTCCAAATGAAATTATTTCCCCATGTCATGGGGTATGGAGTTTTTTTCCACACAAATTGATCCATTATATGATAAACTACTCTGCCATGGGTAAGTTTTCACATGTTTTTGACATGTTTTTGGATGAACCATACAAACACTAAGAAAATTTCATATGAAATTTTTTCATGTAAACTTTTTCATACGAACCAAACGTACTAAATACGATCAAACTAAACAAAAGAATTAAATAAGAGAAAAAAAGGGCTGAACAGGGCCGATCAAACTAAACAAAAGAATTAAATAAGAGAAAAAAAGGGCTGAACAGGGCCGAACTGCGCCGCCCTAGAGCAAAACAAGGCCAAGCCCAGCCCATCCCTAGTCCGTGAGCCGTGGTAGCTAGTCCTGGTCGGCCATAATTATAATGATTATTAGTATTATCTCTTCACAACAATATTATTGTTGTTATTAGTAGGGCTGAAAACATACGATGTGGGAAAGAAGCCCATTCTTTGAGGGAGTGGTTAAGACAAAAAGCCTTTTATTTATTCCAAATGGGAGACCCCTTCATGTAAAATCTTATACGTGCCCCCAGGAAAATAACATTCTAAAATTGCATCGAATCGTCAAATTTTTAAGGAAATTCAGCTATTTATCATTACCATTGAAAAAAGTTTATATAGAGCCTAGGCTCTAAACAATCAAATTAGAGCCTACCTAAAGAATTTCACTTGAAGAGGTTGTTTTGATGTTCAAATATCATCAAATTGATCTTATCGACATCAAGATGCATGGACTTGAGAAAAAAATGGATTTCAATTTTTGGAAATAGTGCGTCTTGTAACGCATTTTTTAACCTTTAATTTTTAAGTTATTCAAGTTTTTATAGATCTACTTGAACTACACTATTTATGAAACTTAAATTTTATAATTAAGGATGAAAATATATTTGAAGGCTAGTCAAAAATTTTCAGTATTGAAACCACATTTCTAGACACTATTTGACAATGGGCTCTAACTTGATTGTTTAGAGCTTCCGCTCTATACAAACCGTAGCCTTTATCATTTTACTTGTATATTTTGATCTAATTTCAAAGTGCCTGTCAAAACGACTGTTATTTTTGAGTTGGAATATTATAAAAAAGTAAAATATTAAATAGCTGAAAAATATGGTGTATTTTGATAAATAATTATATACAATGGGACCATTTATCTATTGTATAAGGAGGTCACAATTACTTATTACAAGATGCAAAATCTGATCGCTTGGGTATGTCTGAAAGTTTGAGAAATTTCATATTGAACTTTGAACTTGGTTAATGGAATAAATGTAACCACCCAATTTCATATCCAATGGTCAAGATTAATTGTGACCACCTCGTACTAAAGATAAATTATCTCATTGTATACTTTTTTTTTTTTATCTTTTTTCTGTTTTTTTGTTTTTTTTTAACGATTAGATCTAAGTATTTAGAAACTCAAAATCCAATCTTCTTTCGTGAAGATCAGGCCTTATGTGTAGAAGTAAGTTTACAATGTGCACCCCCAGGAACAGCTCATGAGAGAGCCCTTTAGTTATTAGTGCGATGGGGTTGGGCAAGAAATTAATTGCTTGTCGAAATTAGTGCGATGGGTTTCAGTGCCTTAGGCTCCTATGATTCCCTAAAAATATTCCTATGCTGATAATGAAAAATGAAAATAGAAAAATAATGCATATTTAACATACTTGTGAACACTTTAGATAACCATTTTCAAGACTTAATATCCATCAATTTTTCACATTCATAAATATTGAGGCTGTGGTGTTTTTTTTTTTTTTAAACAATTTAAAAGAAAAGTAATTAGTGCGTCAGATGACGCAATTCCACAACAGCATGCCCTGACACATCCAACATTTATCTAGTAGATAGATTTTAAAGAACAGTGGCCCAACCAAGATATGAAATTAAGGGTATTAAAATCATGTCCTTTTTTTTTTTTACTTGTTTGTTTGGAGTCATGCTCATCACGGTTTAGTTTTTCAATCTTTCGAGTTTTAGATCTCTAAAATAGATTTTAAAGAGATGACTAACTTTAAAGAAAAAGTTTACATTAAGTGCAAGGCTCTAAACAATCGAATTAAGATACAAATCAAAAATTATTTTAAAAAGGTCGTTTTGATACGAAAAAATCTTCAATTTGATCATCTCACCCTCAAGATGTATAAACATAAGAAAAAAAAACTTTCAAGTGTTCATAGATATGTTCGATCTACATTATTTTTTAACTTTAAATTTTATTATTAGAGATAAAAATAAATTTCTTGGCCATCATAAAAGTTTGTAATATTTAAACAATATCATTTGCTACAATTTAAAGGTCAGATTGTATACAATGAGACCATTTGTCTTTAATACAAGGCGGTCACAATTCTTTACAACCATTTGATGTGAAATTTGATAATTTGGATTTGTGACATGTGTCGCAAAGGTCAAGAATATTTATTTTGAAACTTGAGCTTGGTCAGTGGAATACCCAATTTCACAAACAGCACCCCTCACTTAAGTAGATGATGTGGACTTACAAACACATGGGCCAATCTAAAACCCCGTCCATGAGACATTTTCTTTGCTCCTACATCATAAATTCAATAGGCATATTCTATCATGCTCAAAGATTATTCTTCGCCGAACGTCGGTGCTGATATTTGATCCAAGGACAAGGGCATTTTTGTACACCCACCCCTTCCCTATACACATAAGCCCCGACTCCTTAGTTATAACTAGTAGTGCATGGGTCGCAAAATGTAGTATTAAGGACCACATGCCTCTTTGGCCATGACTCATGCATACCAAACTTGGGCCGACCCCATAAGGAGCAGAGCCAGGGCTAGCCGACCTATTTGTGAGTGGGCTGACCCTATAAGGAGCAGAGCTAGGGCTAGCCGACCTATTTGTGAGTGGGCTGACCCTATAAGGAGCAGAGCCAGGGCTAGCAAAGCTAGAGCTACTAGTATGGTCGCCATATCTCTAAAGGGTGCGTTTGATAACAGGAAGTGTATTCTTAGAAGTTTATAACTTCTTAATACTGTTCAAGTTTTGTGTTTGATAAAAAAACTGAATTTCAAACAAAACTTCAAGGAACTGTTCAAGTTTCAATCTTGCTTTAAAAAAAAAGTTCCAACTAAACTTGAGACATTTTTTTTATGAAACCCCCCATATATAAAATGTATATATTTTATTGTATAATATACAATATAATTTATTGTATAATATATAATATAATTTTTTTGTATAATATATAATATATTTTATAATATATCATATTTTATTTATATAATAGATATTTGTAATATTATATAATAAAAATATATATTAATAGAATCAATATAAAATACAATGTATAATATACTATATTATTTTATATAAATATATATTATATAATGAAATATATTATATTACATAAATGTATAATATATATATATATATTAAAAATAAATATAATAGATATCTATAATATTATATAATAAAAATATATATTAATAAAATAAATATAAAATACAATGTACAATATACTATATTATTTTATGTAAATATATAATAATAAAATAAATAAAAAGTACATTTTTATGTTATATATATTATAAATTTATGCAATATAATAATTTTATTATATAATAAAATAAATTTAAAATACACTATATTATATATTTACGTAATATAAGATATTTTCATATATATATATATTAAAAATAAAAAAAAATACAGTATATCATATATTATAATATGTTATAAATATTATATATTTACATTTAAATTATTATCAATGTAAATATAAATATAATAGATTTACTATATATCCCTATAATTATCAAAACATACAAACTATAAACTTCTTAACTTCCCGAAACCATGAACTTCTTAAATAACTTTTAATTTGCAGTTCTTCAGGATCTTCCAACCTACCGTTGATTAACTTGCTTCTAGTTATCAAACATGCCATAAATATAACAGTGGCAACATGTTCTGTTAGTTATGGATCGAGCGTGACCTAGATTTTATATGGACCTAGACTAGAGTCACCTAGATTTTATATGGACCTAGACTAGAGTCAGGTCCAAGCATTTGAACTCAAACTCATGTCCATAAAATAAAAAACAATTTATTTTATATTAATATTCATATATATATAAAGATATTTTATATTAGGTCGGGAGGACGCCGACCTCAACCCGACATGACCTGATACAAGCCTGATACGGGAGACCCAGCCCAATCCATCTGGTTCATGTCGAACCCACACCTACACCGGTTCAACTCCTGACCCGATTGAAGCCCCTATCTACTGCTCGTTCTATATTTGGTACTTTCTCTCTCTCTAAAATAGATTTCTCCCTCTTCCTAACCGCCGACCCTCGCTCGACCTGCGGCTTGACGTCATTACTGCGGCTCTAAAAAGCGAATGGAGATAAACGGATTCTCGGTATACTTGCCCTGCGTTTGCCACGTGTCACTGACCTGGCAGCTAGGGAGCGCATCGCGTGAGGCGAGGAAGAAACCCCTCTCTCCCTCTCTCTCTCTTCTCCCCTCTCTCTCTCTCTACCTCTCTTCTCCTATTCTTTCATCCGTAATAATATCCCCTAAATTCCACCTTCAAATTCGCACCCTCTCTCTCTTTTCTGCTCTCGATTGCTCCCTCCCCTCCCTCCCTCAGAATCCCTTTCTCTCTCTACATGTGTGCGTGTTTAGATCCAATGACTTTGTTGTAGCAGAAAACCCCATATATTATCGCTATCATCGTCTAGGGTTTCCTCTGCTCAGGTAATTCAGCTGGTTATATAGCATTCATCAGGCCTTTGAAATCTGGTCTCTATTTTGATGCGTCGTGTTTGTATTGCTTGGTTTGAAGTTTGACTGTATTTGGTGGAGAGGGGGATAATCTATTTGAAATTAGGGTTTTGTTTTTGCTTTGTTCTGTTTGGGACTGTGAAATTTGATTGAAGTGATTTGGGTTTTTTTTTTTTTGTGATAGCTGTGATTTTGATCGGTGGCTGGGGATTACTGGCGTTGATTGGGCCTGTGTTGATGCTTTTTGGGGTTTATTGCTTGCTTTGATGTTTTGTGAGGATTTCTATGTGATGTTTTGATTGAAGAACACTGGATCAGATGCTGGACAAGGGTTTCCATTGAGCATTGTTTTGGAATTATCTGAAAGGGCAGGATTTTGGGCTTCACTCTCAGAGTGGGCCGGGGGGTTTCTGCAAATTTGGGTTTTGATTCGAATGGAAATTATTACGGGACCAATGTTTGTATGGTCTTTCTATAGCTATGGGCCATGCCGTTAAAAGGAGGTGTTTTGCAAAGGAATCACTAAGGGATTCACCATGGTTTTCTTGTTCAGAGAGATTCAAGGATGGTTTCTTTCTCTTTTGGCCTCATCACTCTCTTTTTCTCTGACCCTTAACTTGGAGGGATTCCTCCCTTGCTCTTCTTGATCCTCATGTGTAAACACGAGCTTGGATCTCTAAGATCCTCACAGTCTGAAACCACCCCTATCGCAGACCAGGCTGTGTCAACAATGGAGAACTCTTCGAATGATGATGCCCCTAAAGTCAAATTTCTGTGTAGCTTTGGCGGAAGTATACTCCCGAGGCCATTGGATGGCAAGCTCCGCTATGTTGGTGGAGAAACACGAATTGTTAGCGTGCAAAGAGATATCATTTATGATGAGCTCATGGAAAAGATGAGGGAACTGTTTGATGGGGCATCTTCGCTCAAGTATCAGCAACCTGATGAAGACCTCGATGCCCTCGTTTCAGTTGTTAATAATGATGATGTCACGAACATGATGGAGGAGTATGAGAAACTTGGCGCTGGAGATGGGTTTACGAGGCTTAGAATATTCCTGTTTCCCCACCCTGACCATGATATCGTTCCATTTGACACCGATGAGAGAGAAACAGAGCGTCGATATGTGGATGCTTTGAACAGCTTGACTGATGCGCCTGAATCCAAGAGGCAATCTGAAGTTGATAGGTACCAAAGAGAAGCCAACCTGGAGAACTGTGAGATTGGTGTACAGAGGAATAATGAGATCCCATTGCCCCCCCAATATAACAGGCATCAATTGGCGATGCCGCATCAACGATCGGGGCATTGCAGTCCAAGATATGGAGACATGGAGACCCCTTGGAGCCCTGCATATTATTCATCTAGTCACCAAAACCCCCATGATTCGAGGCCTGGTTCAGAGTTTCCATCTTCCCCTTCAGGTGGGCGCTACCGTGTAGCATTTGGAGATGTACAGGATAATTTTTCAGATAGGATTCACGAAGAGACTGGGTACCCAGTTGGTCAGTTTGCCCCGATGAATAACTTGGCACACTATGAACACCAACCACCACCTTATGTTGATAAACCGATGAACAACTTGGCACACTATGAACACCAACCATCACCTTATGTTGATAATGTGGTTTGGGTTCAACATGGCCCGATTCAGGGGGAGAATGCAGGTTTCCATTGTCAATTCAATCAATCGCATGGAACTTTTGAAGCAAACAATGGGTGTGAGCATTGCCAGATGGGTTTTCCAAGGAACCAAGCTTTCTCAGAGCCTCGTTATATGGACCCACGTTGGAAACATGCTCCCCATTTGGAGCATTCAAGCTCCACGAATGAGATAAGCCAGACGTCTAATCCGTGTACCCCTGTTGAATGTTTCGTAACGAACCCAGAGATGAAATTGGACCATGGAGTGTACCAAAAAGAGCATGGAGACCCTCGTGTGATATTCAAAGATCCTCACAACCATGAGAGGAGTTGGCTGAGGCACCAGTTGAATCAAGATACTAGGACCCACTTAACAGGGAGGGTTGGTGACCGTCATGTTGTGGATGGAAGCATTCATAATGCTCCTTTCCCTCATGGATTCGAGCATGGGTTAGAAGGCCCAAAGGACCAAAAAGTTGGAGTTGGACCATACATGCATGTTCCTGTACGTGAGGACGCCGGCATCAGATTTGATAACCTGTCCTCCTCCTCTATTAAAGAGGACTTCTATCAAGCTTCACGTGTGTCTGCATCTCCACATGCTATGAGACTGAAAGCACAAAATCCCATGCGAGCCCCATTACCGGAAAGCTCTGTTTTTTTGCCACACTCTAATGGGTCATCCAATTCAGGCTTTTCGAGAGGAGCTGAGCAAGGGGGAAGTCCTAGGTTTTCTCGTGTTGGGGTGGAGGATCAGAATTCTTGGGTTAGACAACACGGGTCTTCACATGCTGGTGGTGCCTTTGATGTGGCTGCAGCTCCAGACTATCTTGCTCAACTTACTCTACATGGTGGGCAAAATCAACTCGGGCTTCATTTCAATGATGATGGTGAGCAAAGGGGCGAGCCTTCTGTTGGCATGGTGAAGGGGTTCATGAATGCTGGTATGAGTTCTCCTGATTCAAGGAGATATGGTGTGTTTGCCCATGGTCCTGGAAATTTGAGCTCAACTCCAGAAATAGCTAAACTTGACATCTTGGGTGGTCCTGCCCATCCAGAGGCTACAAATGTACTGCACCCATCTCCTTCTCTGATGGATGAGGACCTGGTTACTTTGATTCTTCCTCCTATCAATCTTAGTCCAAAAATCGATTCTAATTCTACTGGAGAGATCGGAATGCCTTTAGAGCAGGATGCTACCGAGGAGTCTTGCCAGACTAAGCTTGTGGACGCTTCATCAGACTTTGATTTCTCTAGTATATCTACTTTCACCAAGGACACTGAGATGAATGCTGGCTCAAATAGTAGAAGGCCTATCAAAGAGGGTGGGGGTGCTGCTGAATCCGTTCTTGAACTTAATTGTCATTTATCTGGATCTCCACAACTGTCAGATTGTTTGAGTTTCATTCCAGATTTAATGGCATCTGCAAAGAGGGCAGCCTTGGAGGGTGTCGAGGAGGTTCGCAACAGAGCTTGTCAAGATGCCAATGCTTTAAAAATGGAGGACAAAGCAAATGCTGGAAACGGTTATTCTCACTCTTTAATGAATAAAGGATCGTCTCCTCATGAATTGGACCCTCCGGTGAGCATGCTGATTAGCTATAGTACCATAATTCAGTAAATTCACAATAAAAATATGATTCCTTTGTTGCAACATTTAGAGCTGTAATTTTCTTATTTTCTTTATTTGCTTTGTTTTTTTTTTAATCTGCAGAATCCCCCTGTGGAGCCAGATGAACAACATGATAATGAGAATACAAGTAATTCCAAGATAGAACCAACCAATGCAGAAGCAGAAGCACTTGCTATGGGATTGCAGGTTGTAGTGCTTCTTTTTCATTTCTTATTTATTTTATTTTATGAACAATGGTTGTTGTCTTTTTAATTAGTACAAAACTAATGAATGTTTTCCTGTGCTATTGTAGACTATCAAGAACGATGATCTTGAGGAAATACGAGAACTGGGTTCTGGTACATACGGATTTGTTTACCATGGAAAGTGGAAAGGTTCAGATGTTGCAATAAAGAGGATAAAAGCAAGCTGCTTCAATGGGAGACCCACTGAACGAGAACGTTTGGTAAAAACTTATTGTTCTTTCCAAATTACTGTTATGAGGGAAAAATCCATTGGTCGGTGGTATTGGCGATCATTGGTTGCTAATTTTAATCTAGTTGTGAATTCTCAAAAAAAAAAGATTAATTTAGCTGTGTTGTGGAGTAATTATGAACATAAGCAATCTAGAGTTAAACAGGATTCCTTGAATGTGTGTATGCAAATGTAGCAATGTTAACTGACTTCTATCATGTTACCTCTGCCTAATAGATTGCAGATTTTTGGAAGGAGGCTTCGATCCTTCATTCCTTGCACCATCCAAATGTGGTTTCTTTCTATGGAGTAGTCCGTGATGGGCCTGATGGAACTTTAGCAACTGTTACCGAGTTTATGGTTAATGGGTCTCTTAAACAAGTTTTGCAAAAGAAGGATAGGTAGATCTTGATTGTGAATTTTATCTGTGTGTTAGGGTGTGGAATAGACCAATCTTATAATTTTTATTTAGGGTGTGAAATAGACAAGTTCTTTAGTAGGGGCTTGTAAAATAATCTTAGTCTTTGGATCTGGAATCCAGAATTACATAGTGCTGAATTCTAGTGCAATTGAGCAGGACAATAGATCGTCGTAAAAGATTAATCATAGCTATGGATGCGGCATTTGGAATGGAGTACTTGCATGGGAAAAATATCGTTCATTTTGATCTGAAGTGTGAAAATCTTTTGGTGAACATGAGAGATCCTCATCGTCCTGTGTGCAAGGTATGCCCAAGGACATTATATTCTAGCATGTTGGTAATGAATGTTGGGATTCTACTTCACTTGTTTTACCAACATAATAACCTATCCAATATTGGTTTTGTACACATATGGGATGTTTTTATGGATCATAGATTTTTTTAAAAATATTAGATTTCAAACTCTACTGCCAGAGTCCTTGGATACGAGTCATATTGAATGGCTGCTTATTAGGTTTCAGTTCTGTTTTACTCCTATAGATCTTGATGAAATCAGTTAATCTTTAACAATTTCACTTGCAATTCTTGTCTCGTGATTCTTGACTCGATGTTTATTAATAGAAGTGCTTTTTGCCATCAACTTGTCTTTTTCTGCAATCTTCTATTAGATTGGTGATTTGGGCTTGTCAAAGGTAAAACATCATACTCTAGTATCTGGAGGTGTTCGTGGAACTTTACCGTGGATGGCACCAGAACTTCTAATTGGGAAAAGCAACATGGTGACAGAAAAGGTAGGTAAATAGTGTTTGGTTATTTACAGTTTTAAGCTTCCAATTTATTGATTTTTCCTTTGTTGAGTGTGTTTTGTGATCAAAATTTCTTCCATCTTGTCTTATTTGTTTTCCTCTTTTTTGGTGCTTGCGTGTAGATCGATGTTTATTCATTTGGAATTTGCATGTGGGAACTGCTTACTGGTGAAGAGCCTTATGCAGATATGCATTGTGCATCTATAATAGGTGGGTATAATATTATAAATCCTTCAAAATGTGGTATCCTCATTTCCTTGATGTCGGTTCCCTTTTCTTGCCCAACTCTTGCATGTCGTGAAGTGGACATTGTTTCATCTCATGTTTTCTTTGTGACTCAACATATGTGCACTACTTTCGTGGTTGGATGTTGGTCATGGATTGATTCACCACCTTGTTGAGTCTACTTCGTACCTCTTTGATGCTTTGATTGAGGTTGTTTAGACTTTTAAAATTTGTTGATATGTAAAATATAGGGGACATAAAGGAACTTAGAAAGACAAATCAACAAAAATGGTTAAAGAGGACCAGGAGTAGGCATATAATTATTGTGATGTGAAAGAATAGTTTTGGCTCCCTTGTCTTAAATACTTAGTTCTACAGCCTGACTTCTCTTATATCTGTGCACCTAAATATTGGTATTTTTGTTACAAAAGAACAGATTTACTGTTGTGGTGTTCTTCATTTCTCTTTGTGATGCTATCTCTCTAGCTGAAAATAAGAGTGAGATACACTTTATTTGCATGATGTGAAGTTTGTAGTTCTCTTCATTGCTGTTGTGAGTTTGACTCATACTTGAATTTGCCCATAAGTTATAGCTAATTGCATGTGGTTACATGAACATAGAAAAGTTTGAATATAGGAACAAATCAATGACAAGAAGAAACAGAACACAAATGCTTTATCATATAAGATAGGAATTCCATATTTGAATTTCATTTTTATGAAATTATATTGATTTTTCTTTTATTTTGTATATGAATTTTAGTTTATTTGGTTCGTGTTAATATTTTATAATATTGTTTCTGTTAATTTTATAGGCATAATTTTAAGTCCAGAGCAAAGTATACTACTATTAATAAAAATGTGGTCTCAAAATGAAAGTTCAAAAAATTGTAAGAAGATACTTAGAAGTTAATCTACATATGATAGATCTGATGCAATTAGGCTCAAGCTAAACATATTTGAGGAAACCTGTTATTTCTTTAAATATGAGTTTTCAAATACTAACCCAGGCAATTATCATCCCAGTCCACACTGGTTTGTAATCTCATTAGGAACCAAGTGACAAAGCTTCCTAAAATGCATTTGATTAGAATGTCGATCATGCTAGGACTGAAATAATAAAATTCTAAGAAAAATCTGTAGGCTAGTTGTATGTATGCATGCGAAAAAGAAAGCACAAAATAAATTTTTATCAAATATAAAAATATAAAAAACATTAAAACAGTTTGGACATTCTTATAAAATGAACGACATTGCATATGTAGAAAATTTACTTATGAATTGTATAAATTTCTAGTACAATATGAAAAATTGGGAGTGAAACATGAACTGCATTGAACTTCACTTCTTGTAGGAAACAAAAGAAGATTGGTGGTTATCTGAAAATAATAAATCATGTAGCGTCTCCGGTAGGATATGGGTCTTAGAGCCTTAACCCTAGGCAGCAGGGTCACCCAAAATATCCTGGTGAGTATAATATACTATTAATCTAATAATTGATGGTTATGGAAGTGATGTGATTATTAGACGTCACATGCGATAAATGATTAATATTATTGGCCGCAATGCTAGTAAGGTGGACAACTCAATCGAAAATTACTCTGAAGAATTTACACTGGCAGGGTTTGCACAGAAATTTATTTAGCCATAAGATTTCATGCTCATGAGGGAGCATTCTGGCCATTTGCTCACTTGGGTAAAACCCTTTCTAGAAGAAGTATTTTCTGAACTCCAAATTTTGGGGATGTAATCTCAACCATATACTGGTGTCAATAAATTTTTTTTTTTTTTACATCTCATTCTCTATTGGCTTGTTGGAAAAGAATGCCTCTAGATTGAATAGAAACCATCCAATCTTTGAAGGGTGAGGTAAGAATTAGAAAAACTCAAAATTCAAGTTGTTTCTTTTGAACACAATCCTCTAATGGTTTTTAGGTGGTTCCCAAAATTTCGGGTCAAAACAAAATTCCTGAGTAATACTTCTGCCTGAGGGAGTAAGTGTACAGTAAAATCCCTTGGGAGCATACTATATGCCCTCATTTAATTATGTGGCTGCCATGTTTGCATTATCAAGAACATATTCCATAATGCTTGATGTATAAGATATGTGACTGAATAATGTTGAACCTTGGGCATTGTTTTAAAAAGCGGATTGCCCAGCGCCTGGACCAACATCTAGGCGGTCCAGAAGGCCTGGGCGCATCGCCCAGGCCTAGGCGGATATACCTGGGCGCCCGCCCGGGTGGCTGCTCAGGGGCTGAAATGCGGCTCCTTATGGGTATTTTTGGGTCATTTTTTAATACTAAAGGGCAAATTGTGGGTTTTCATTAGAGGCTATTTAGAGAGAGAAAACCCCAAAACAAATTTTTTTTCTACTGGCCCGCACAGGTTCTGGGCGGCTGCCTAGGCGCTGGGCGGCTTGGACCCCCCGACCGCCTAGGACCGCCTAGCGCTTTTTGAAACACTGACCTTGGGGTCCTCGACCAATTGGAGGCCCTGTAACTCTGGAACAAGGAAAAATTCCTAAATACATGAGCAGTCAAGTGAACTGCATTAATAAGGATGACTTTGTTTATCAATTTATTATATCATATTTTTGAGGCTTATGATTTATGTGAAATATTGGAAATGTAAGGGATGTAGAGTGAACTACATTTAATGAGAACTTAGAACTTTGTTTGTCATATTTACTGAGGAGATGATTTATATGATGGATTATGATTTATACCACATGGTGGCACCTCATTTGGCCATGTATTTGGATGAATGAGCACCCAAAAATCTCCAAAATGACTCTCGTACTCTCCAATATCAATCTTGTGAAAAAAGAACTGGTTTGGAGCTTTGATTTTGCTTACACCTGATTTTAGAAGAAGGGGAAAAAATGTTTGTTCTTGAACATTATTCCAATAGTTGTATTGATTAATATGTGGTTTCTTACGTTTTCACTTTTCAAACTGGACTTGTATGCTCTCCAGTCATGCATCCATTATGGATCTAGCTTGTAATAGGCTTAAACAACATTGCCTGCTATTCAGTAGCTAATCTATGGCTGTGCCATAGCCTTTGGTTCGACATATGCAGTTTTAACTGAAAATAGGTGACCTGACAGACTTTCTGATAGGCCAATAATGTTTGCTTCTTGAGTTATAAATGTTCTATCTTGTTCATATTACTAAGATATAAACATCATTATACATCAAGTGGTAGTGTAATAAAAATTGGGCTGCATACAGCTGGGGAATCATGATAATAGCTTTCTCTTGACAACAAAATCTCATGGCTTGTATGCTATCTTGATGAATGCAAATATTTCATTTCATGTCCCATAAAAAAGTTGTTTTATTTGTACTGCTGCATTGTCATTGTCATTGTCATTGTCATGGATGGGCAACCATCCATGGGCTGATTTCACTAAGGACACATTGGTGGTCCCATGTTTATGTAGGGGGAATTGTGAACAATACTTTGCGTCCACAAATCCCGACATGGTGCGATCCTGAATGGAGATCTTTGATGGAAAGTTCTTGGTCTTCTGATCCAGGAGAGAGGCCTTCGTTTGCAGAAATATCTCAGAAATTGAGGAAAATGTCTGCAGCAATCAATGTGAAGTGATGCCTGCCTATGATGCCTCTTATGGATCATTTTAGTTTCTTTTTCTTCTCCTATGTATACAGTCTCGATGGTTGGTGAACCATAGGTTTTGCTGTATTAGCATTATCTTCCTTCACGAAATATACATATAAAGGATTTGCAAGAACATGGTTAAGGCATGTGTGGACCTTAAAAGTGATCTTATACATGCGTCTTCTTAGGGTGCAACTATATGCACACTCATAGTGAGGTGTATCTGTTTGATATCAAAGCATGGAATCTGGGGAAGGAGATGCTCAACTAAAATGTGAGTGATCTAATGTTAATTTTTTACATTATCTTATAATTTTTTATGATGACATGTCTTGCTTTCCTAACGAAAAGAACCAGAAAAAGGAAAGAACAAAATTTTCACTAGAGTTGCAATGTTACCTTATTGAGTGGTTGACAATTTTATTATGTGTGCAGGAACATTTCTCATAGATGTGCGTAGAGCATTTGTATAGACCTTTTGGGTGTTATCTGAACTCCAGAGACTGTTGTGGCTTATTATGTTCTTGATGGAACTAATATGCAAGAATGTACATCAGTTTTGTGTGGTATTACATTGTTCTATATCCATATGGAGAGAGGTTATATGGTAGGTCTTGAATTGAATATATTCCGGACCTGAAAATTTTGTCATAGGTTTTCATATGCCATTGTACAACTCATATCTTCTATTATTTTTTGCTTATAATTTTTTGAAGTTAAAGATGTATCATACTAAAGAAATAAAAAAATTGTTTTTGTTTTGTATATATTGAATTTCCAAAGTTTTTTGATGGCATGTTGTGGGGAGTTTCAAATACTTAATTAGGTGTGCATATATTGATATTATAACTTTAAATTAGGCTGCCTGAGGGTTTATCATGCTGGTCCATTTGAGGTGTCCTCTTTTGCATTCTATTTAGGTTATGCACTCGAAAAGTTATCTAGTTTGTCGTGTAGTTAAAAAAAAAGAAGAAGTGCCTCCACGATAAGTGAAATTGATGTTAAATTATTTTTCACACGAGAAACCCTCAAGTTCATCTTCTACTTTTTTTTGTAATGTTTGATTTTAATGTAAGGATTTATGCTTCCTCTTTCCCCTTTAATCTCCTTGTCAGTTGTGGCACACATCTATTTTGTTTAACATCCTGACAGAGGAATTTCATCTATTGCCTATTTGCACCAGTCTTAATGAACAACAACTTTGAATATGCTACACTTTGTTTCTATATAGCCAAAAAGAATGTAGTCTTTGTTTCTAAATCTTGATGCCGTGATATCGTTACATGCCTTCTAGAAGCGCTGTCATTTTTATGGCATGCCCAGATGGGACAGGAATAATACCAATCTTCATTTTTTGAGGCGACATGGACTTTTGGTGAGCTGCAGCTGCACCATAAATTATGAAATTAAATAGATAAAATATAAATAAAAGTAAATAGATGATATCTAAAGAAAAGGATATACATGAATATAGAAACAAGGGATTGGGAACTTATTTGTTCATTTGGTTTGGAGGAGGGGTTTTGTGGAGGTTGGATGGTGGGGACTTGAGAGGGGTTTTGTGAGGGCCTGGCTTCACCATCAGAATCCTCTACTACCTTGTTGAGGGACCTTTTAGTACATTTTGATGCCTAAATCAATTTATATTGATTTCTTATATAGAAATCTTTTGTATTGAACAGTTAAAAGATATTTTTCATTTAAATCATCACCTTTTTATTTTTTAAAAAGTAAAGGTAAAACCCTTGCTAAAGAAGATGGCTGAGTGAATTTGGCAAGTCATCTAAACACTTTGAGTTTTAAAATGATTCATCTGTGTCGACATAGAAGTTGAGTCAAAACGATATGTGAAATGTATCAGCAAACTGGGTTAGCTTGTTCTGTCAGGGAATGGTGTTCCCACAAAAATGTGGAGATGGTCCTTTGAGGCACTCCTTTAAAGTTGATTGAGTTTTGTTTGTCATTTGGTCCTCCTAATGGTTTGACCTTGTACCGTAATGAATCTCTTGTCTAAACCATAATCGGATGGTTTTCTCAAGTCCTCAATCACCTAAAAACCATGACTGTCTTCTAGTCCCTCTATTGTCATCCAACTCAGCTCATAGATCTTTGGAAGATTAGGTTGTTTTGGGTAGGTAATTTCAAAAAGAAGAGTCATCAATGATCTAGGTAGATCATTGATTAAAATCAAACACATCTAGTCTTACGTCACTGCCTCTAATATGCGTACTTCACATTTTCACTATATGAAGATGATGAACAATCCGTGTGACCTATCGAACTTTTGTCAACTAGCACTATATGTTCCTGTAAAATTGATCAAATGCTTCCTTCAAATTGGGACGTTGGTATCCTGACCACTCTTTATGTCATTGCTTTTTGTAAAACTATTGAACAGGAAAATCACATATTGTCTTCTTCAACTAGACTCCTGTACCACCATAATTTTTTATCGATTATGGTTAATGCAAGTTCCCTAATTTTCTTCTCTTATTCTTCTCAGGAGTGTTGATATCTTTCTGTGTTACCCTTGCCTGAAGCTTCTTGCCAAACCTTTAGGGGTACGCCGAACTCATAACAAGGCAAGGTTGAAGGATCTGACCATATTCCACATAGTGTCCTTTTGGCGTGGAAAATGAACTTCCATTGTTGTTCAAACGGTGGTTTGTGGGGGACGACTTTGCTAGGGTACATACCCTTTCCCTGACTGACACCTAGAGAGCTATAACTCAACGTATCACATTTCAGTTTCTTCACATGGATAATTCTTCTTAGCCGTTATTTTTCCAATATCCTCCTCAAATCTCTCCTGTATTCTCTTTTTTGTCGTAATTTTTCCAATATCCTCATTCTAAATTGCATTCTTCTATTCAACTAATTGAAGTCGGTGAATAAAAGAAAAATCTAAAAATTGTTAGCCTTCCATCTTTTAAGGAAATGTTACTTCAAACATAATAGAGAGGCCTGCTCATGTTTGTCTTGCACATAGGAGACCTGTATAGAGTTGACTTGGGGTACTGCCATTTGAAGTTCAAACGACTTTCCGAATTTTTTGCTCCCAATAAGGGGAACGAACAAGTTAACATGGTCTTGTCATAAAGTGTTCAACCTAATGGTATAAGCATGTACTGCAATGTTCCCCCTTGTGTCATCCAATTTGGCTCGTGTCATATGTGCTGTTAAATGAGTTCATGTTTCTTCCTTTCTTTTAAAGAAGAATTATCTGCTATTCATCAAAACATTATTTTTCTTGTAATTCCTCCAGTATCTTCCAATGAGTGTTAGACATCCCACTTTCCTTTTGTACGCATGGCGACACATGTTGACACATGACTGACACACTGCCTGTACGTGTTTACAAAATAACTACTCTGACATGTGGGTGTTGACATGCATATCTGGCATGTCCAGTGTTCAACCTACGATTGTTATGTTAAAAGAGCTAACCACCATGCCAGGAACTTCAGTTATGTTCTAGTTTTGAAATATATAATACTTATTTCTTGGCTAAGTGCAACAGAAGGCATAAGTGCTCCTAGGTCTCTGATGGTGCATTTATTAGATTGGAAACGTTAGAATATTTATTTACTATCAGATAAAACATTAAAAAGAAAGAACTTTCTCATAGCACATGCATTTATTACACTAGAAAAGCCAAAATATTTGACAACAGGACTACAAAGAGAAGAACTCTCTTAAAATATTAGAATATGCATACGTTTATGCATGTATTTTATATGCATTTATTGTTCCTATATTAATATTGTCCACAAAGACTGATAGTACTGTTTAAATGTGGTTTATATTTATATTGTAATTGCACTTTGAGTTCAAGCTTGCATTTTCCTAGGACAGTATCAATAGTTCTACCAACACAACTCTCAAAAGATGTTTATGCATTTTGCAAAATATAATTTTTGCATACAATGAGAGAATGTATTTTTAACTTTCCTGCATAAAATAAATTTATATTTTAGTTTATTATTGGTTTTTTTTATTTTTCAATTATTATATTTTGAAATTCTTTGGTAACTTGTACATATGCTTAAATTTATGTCGAGATGGTTATATAGACATTGAGTGTTCTGGGTTTTTGGGTTAGTGCTAGATAAGTATTAGACATATATGTAATACTGCTGCCTCCTCATCTTAATGATCTAAGATTGCTCTGGACCTTGCGTTTCTCTCTCTTTTTTTTGAGCTTAGGCTAAGGAATCACCTAAAAACTTCAATGATACTGAAACAAATTATCTTTGGATCATTACCTCACTTCTCTTGCAAAGGGGATTTGTTCCTTTACCTGCACTACATCTTTCACCCATGGCAGTGAGGAGCATGTACATGTAGTTTTTTTTTTTTGAGAATGTACATGTACATGTAGTTTTGCTGAAGTAATTCGACCACTGCATCATTGGACCTGTCCAACTTTTCACCGTCAGCCTGTAAAGTATATTTTGAGGTTTATGGAGGGAAGGAACAACCAAGTATTGAGAGATGTTAGAACTACTAGTTGCTTAAGCATAGAAATCAATTGTCAATCAAGTTGACGCGTTTTAGAGAAGACTTCTTTGTTTTCTCAGTCAACAATTTGGTTGAATAGTGAAGAATATTGGCATTCAGTGAAATAGAGACTGACCCTTGAAGCAAGTACCGGTGGTAAAGCTTGACATAAATTCCTTTGGGAGCTTCCAGTCGTATAGAGTCGGAATTATTCTTGTAAGGGAGAAGGATTGACCTTGAAGGACTTAATTGAAGACCTCTAGGTGATTTTGTTCCTCTGAGGCAGATGCAAGAGGCTTACTGGATGGACTTCGAATGTTTGCTACTAGACATGGAGATAGTTGCACACAAGAAGAGTTTAAGTGAAAGTGGTGATAGGTTCCATTGAATGTAAGCTGTATACATGTAGATGTACTGTTTTCTAAATCGTTATTGTGATGCGAGGTTCCTCGATTCTGAATAGCATATATGCTTGGAATCTAGAGCACTGCTCCAAGCTCCTTTAATCATAATCAGACTAATTGCAAGACGGAGTGCTCAACCATAAGAAGATCTTGGGTCCTACATGCTGTAAAGATTCTGAGCTGAAATCAGTGATGCAGCTTCGTTGACCTAGTCTTTGATTAGTTGCAGCCTCATTGGGAAGTTATTTCGACCTGTTGGCAAAATCACATTTATTCTTGCAATATGACAGATCGGAGAAACGATTGGCGTTATGGTTCTATGTGATATGGTGACATAGCATTATGAGTTTTGTCGTTGTAAATAGACGGAATCTGCGGGTCCCACTTTGGGTTGTGTGTGGTTCTGCCACTGTCATCGCGTGATGCACTTAGCAAAAAAGAACAGACATTGTGAGTTTTGTCTAATCCACAGAGTCGAAAATCAAATGTCCGGGTTGAGAAAACTTCTTTCCCAGGAGATTGTTTAGTGGTTAAAGTAGGCCTTTCACTTACTGTTTTAAATTCTAGTACAGCATTCATGGAATCGTTAAAGCACACTTTGACTTACTATAATCAAGCTGGGATGCTTTTCCCATTCAGGAGGAATTCACTACATAATGTGGAATTTTGTTATACAATTGCATTTGCTTAATTATTCCTATGTTACTTCTTAGAAATGTAGCGGCTTCTTGGTTGCGTATTTTGTGCTTTGGCTTAACCCGAAGGATGGAAGATGTAGAATGACCAATGTTAAAAACCCAGGCTTTGGTTGTCTCAACAGGGTCTTGAGACCAAGATAGAGGCAGACTCAGCCAAGTTGGACG